GGTTAAAAAAAAAAATGGTTAAATATCTGAACCCTACTGTTAGACCTACCTGAAAAAAACTAAAAAGCAATTTATTTAATTCGAAGGCCTGTCGTTATTTTTTTTTGTGCTATCATTATTAATTTCTTTATTTGTTCTTATTTTATTACTGACTGCTTACTTGTCATTTTGTATTAAATTAAAATTTTGAAATCAAGCTATCTTGTGCTATTGCAAAAAAATTACCCCACTGTAAAATCAAAAATACACTGAGTGAGCAAAAATTTGTGAGATAGCTAGTTATAATGGCAATTAAACAATGTTTACATATGAATAAAAGCCTACGTTAAAATCGGTCATATTAATTGGTCTCTTCATTAGAAATAAGCCTACTGATTGCCATCATTGATTCTCCAAAAAAATGTAATAATATTAAATATATCTGTATGACAGTATATTCAGCAGTTCTTCCCTGCTGTACCTAATATCTATACTTTTCAAAGTATCATATCGAAGTTAGAATTTCAAGTATTGTGACAAAATAAATTTTGTAGGGTGCCACAAATTTGTTAAAATTTTCAAAGGGTGCCGCGACTAAAAAAAGGTTGGGAAACACTGGCTTAGCGCTTAAAACAAGTAGTTCTTGAGCTGTAGCAGTGTTTAAGTCTCTCTCATGCATCTGTGTTTAGTCAGGCTACATACCTGTTTCTTTTTCAGTTTGAAAATCTGCTGCTCAACCTTGGCAATCTCACGGTCAACGCGGTCCATGCTCTGAATCAACTCCTCCTTGGAGAGTTTGGAAGGCGATGTGTCTGCATCCTCACCCACCTGTGGAACTCCACCTGGGGACGAGGCCTCCACCTTCACACTAAACTGGGTTTCCTGTCCCAGAAAACGAGGGGAAAAAAGTGAGAGCACAAGAATAAGCACAAGCCTTCAAACAACCCTAAAAATAAAGCAAATACCGGTTTGTTTTATGGAATGAGGAAATATTTAAAACTCTTACATCCACACACACACAAACATACATTTATTACCTTCTTGACATCTCCAGTGGTCCTGATGCTGTCCTGTATGGTCTGTGGAGGGGGCAGTACGATGCCGGTGAGCTGAGCTCTTGGAAAGTGTGTTTCAGATACGTTCTCGATGCGGGGACGCTTGGCCTCGAAAGTCTCCTGCTCCTGCTGAGCTGGGATGGCATGAAACTGTTGCTCATAAGCATGTCTGCGCTCCGTTGGCCTGCAGGATTTGGAAGAGATACTTATAATTACAATTATTATGCTTTAAAAACCTCAGCACCAAACAATATTACTGAAAATAACACAAAACCGTTTAACCCTAAAAAGGGCAAACCCATAAAGAGACATCAGAAAATTAATTTAATGCTATTTTCCATCTTATTGGGACTCAAATACAATTTCATGATTTTTTTCTAAACTTGACTTGAATATTTAATTTTAATGTTTGTATCCCCCAGGATATGTTGCTCCTTTGGGGGTATAAATTCACTGGAAACAGAACACTTGTTTATCAATGCTTGTTACAGCATGGTTGTAATTCCTGAACGCTTGGGAGTACAGACCTAAGGTTGGTCTCTTTTTAAAGAAGACACATGGCAGATTATTGCTGAAGTGAAAGCATTTCAAAAGAAGTATAAAAAAGTTATAAAAGTTTAGGTTTACAGTAAAGATAATGTAGTATACTAATTGTTTATTTTATATAAAATAAACATTATAAAATATGTTGCACTCTAAAATTGCTATAAAACCAAAGCCATATGTCGAACCGATTTATGTTCCGAATTTGAAGTTGATATCACAAAAATTGTGGTTCCTGTGAGATTACAACTATACCAAAAACAACCACTGTGTGACACCCAAACTCTATTGAATTATTCTAATGCAGTTTTCTGTCACAAATCAATCATTTTCTGTCACAATTCAAGTACAATTCACATTCCAGGGACTAAATATCACGTTATTAGGGTCGCTTCAACTCGCGGACATGAACAACAACCCGAGGCAACAGTGTTAAGTAGCCCAATTCCACGGGAAAACCGCGGACTAGGCAACACTGCTTATGAACCGACCGCACTATAGCGTTTCTTTGTTTACCGCTGTAACAAAACAAAGCAGAGTTGCGCTTTATACGGAGAAGAAAATGCCATTGCCATCGAAACTTTTCTCAAGACAGTACCCTTATAAGGATAAAGTATATTTATAATGCAATGCTAATCGACATAGCCTTTATCACTGTATATAATGCTATAAAATAGTATGATTTCTGCCTTATTCTGTGATACGAAACCACGTCTGATCACAAAATTAAGTTATTTCAAACACTCGACTATGTTATGAAGTTAATATGGAGAAAAAGCATGTCAATGGCAGGTTGTGTCACCTCTCAGTCCCAGGGTGGAATTCGGATAGTAGTGAAGGCCTGCGGCGCTGCTGATCCTGCAGAGGGGTACGGTAGTCGGGTACCGGGAACTCCTGAACAAACACAGACACACACATCAGAGAGGAAACACTAGGCAAAACAAAAGCACAAGGACCTCATGGATGAGGGCTCAGAAGTAGGCTTGCCGCGATAGACGGTGCTGACGGTGATACCGGTGTTAAGCCGCAACACCGGTTACGTCACTTGCCCACCGCCATTTTGATTTTTTATAGAAATAAAAATCATTTAGTTCAGTAAAAGAACAGACACTACAATTAAAAACTGAACGCGGCTGCTCAATGCAGCGTGCCGAACGACAGTCACATCACA